AATCTGTGAAAGAATTGTTCAGATATTTACTCGCACAGATTGGGTTATCAAGGAATTGCTAACCAATAGCCGAATCATGCGCAGACTGAGTTAATCTCAAAGAGTGATTGAAACCACTGAACCGTAGCGTGCTGATTCCAATAGCTGATTGGTTCGTCCTATGTATTCAGTTCCACAATGACATTTGAATTTATACACAATAGAATTACTTTGAAAATAGGACAAACCAACTTTGACAAATTAGGGAAACAACAAATTCGTCCCAAAAGCAACACGCAACCTGGTAGTGGAAAACTGATATAACCCAAGTCGAGACTCTGTCGACAACATTTGACGTTTCCTATCTCGCGATGGTAATTTTAAATAAACAAAACAAATGCTGGGACCGAAAATTACTGGTTCTTCTTAACCCTTAATAATGTGTTTAATTCGAAGGATAACCGTTGTCACAAAAAATACGATAAATGTCCTCCATTTCTTGATTGAGTCTACACGGAGACATTCTTTTCCATCAAATTCTAATACAAACGGTGAGAAGTGATTGCCAATTAACTACAACAATCTACAAAATCTCATGAATATTTTTGGTAGCGTTTTTACGGTAGCTTGAATGAATTTTCCGCGCTAACCACCCATTCTTTAAAGTGTTATCGAATGTGATATTTAAACGGCTTGTTGAGGCACACATCCAGTTGTGTTTTTGTTCAACATCATCAACATGTGCAACAAACGGTCGAATAAACCTGTTCAATGTTAACCGAAAAAAATGATTTGGACAAAAGTTGTTCATATTTATATTAACTAGGTAGGCTCCAGACAAATCTATTTTTTTTTTTTTTTTTAGATTTTTAACATCAAGCTTATTGGCTATTTTAAATATTTCCTTTCAGGAAGAAGATTATTGTTAAATATATTCCGAAGTTGAGCCTCTAAAATTTCAATTTAGGTTATTTTACTGTCTGCTAATTCAAAGAATATCGCGCGTCTCATCCGACGTCGCTGGTTGGTTAATATATATGAAGACAAAGATTTAAATACTTAGAGTCGAAAAAATACAAAAATTGTGTTACTTTTCGTGTGATGAATTTTCAGTACTTAAATCTATTAGCATTTTTATACAATTCTGAAACGGCACTCACCACACACACACAGACACACACACACACAATATATATATATATATATATATGAGTGTGTGTGTGTGTGTGTGTGTATGTTTGTACAGGGTGCAATGGGTAAATTGTCGCTATATTTAGTTTTCGCATTTCGCGCATTAGCGTAGTTTGTTTTTGATTTTGTCGACTGACCGGCATATTAGGGTCAGTTAGGCACTGTATGTAAAGAGCACCATGACGAAATTCACTCCGCCTGAAATTTGAAAACGGCATGCTACACTGCTTGACATTCTCGCCGGAAGCTCCAATACGAACATTTCAGAGTGTTTAAGTGTCAGTCTGAGGAGAGTGCAGAGGATTCGGAAAGAGTTGGATGATATATCCCGTCAACATCATTGTGTTTGGAGTGATCACTAGTGATGGCAAAGTTGTACCTCCATTCATCTTTTCGCAGAGACTCTGATTCAACACGGAGGCCTACATAATGTTCTTGAAACAACAGCGCTGCCCCGACTCAATATGTTGGCTGCAAGGAGACGCTATGTCAGGAAAGAGAACTCTGACAATCATACCACACAAGCAAAAGAACCCAATCATGACTGTCAAACAAGCGACTTGATTATTATGTGTGGGGCGCAGAGAGGCTAAACAAAACTCCTTGTAACACCAAAGATGAACTGAAGGCAAAGATGATTGCAGCATTCACCAAGTTGAAGAAGGAGATCATCTAGAAACGATACTGTAGATCCCGAAGTCGTCAGGAGTCCGTGATTGCACCAATGGGGATTTTATTGAATAAATTTACTCGTTAGTATTTCAAAATATATTGAGTAATTTTGGTAAATATATTTCTTAAAATGAGAGGTTAGTGTTATTTTAATTTTTGCATAATTTAGAAGACAACGTATCCATTGCACCATATATATATATATATATATATATATATATATATATATATATATATATATATATATATTTGGTTGGATAGATGTGAGTTTGGACCCTGGGTTTCACGCTTTTGCGATCGTCAAATCCAGGTCACAAAACTCACATCAATCAACCAAATATGTTAGCTCTATCTCTGATATTGAGCGCTTTCTAATAAGTACCATATATAATATATAAATAATTATATATATATATATATATATATATATATATATATATATATATATATATATATATATTATTCATATTTATATACACACACTTTTCACATACACATACACACACACACACACATATATATATATATATATATATATATATATATATATATATATATATATATGATTTTTTAATTGTAGTATTTTAATATATATATATCGTTTTTAAAGTCTTTTTCAAAAAATCAGATGAGTTACATAGCTTGCATAGAAGTGAAA